CAGCAGGAGAAAAAGAATATAGTTAGTGTGCATTCTCTGGGAAGGAAAACATCTAAACCATAGAGTTTTGTTCCACAAACCTTTCCTTATTCTCCTGAGAATAACTGGTTTTTTTTGTTTTATTTTTTTAACTCTTTGGTTTGCCCTACTGTCTGGTTTTAGAGTTTTATAAGGGTATTTTCACAATATTCTACTCAAACTTAATTAAAAATTTTCTTGATCAGACTATTGAGCCTTCTACTAAACACGTTTTTCTGTTCTCAATAATATATGTACTGATCCCGGGGGCGCCTGGGTGGCTCAGTCGTTAAGCGTCTGCCTTCGGCTCAGGTCGTGGTCCGGGACCCTGGGATCGAGCCCCGCATCGGGCTCCCTGCTCTGCGGGAAGCCTGCTTCTCCCTCTCCCATTCCCACTGCTTGTATTCCCTCTCTCGCTGTGTCTCTCTGTGTCAAATAAATCAATAAAATCTTAAAAAAAAAAAATACATGTACTGATCCCTTCCAAGAACCTATATTCTAGGGTTATTGGGATATTGTAGGCCATGGTCCAGCAACTGAATCTCAGTCTTCCCCTTGTTATGTGTACTTAGTTCTTGATTTCCTACATGCTCTGTTATCTTCCAAAATCATAACACTGAACTATGTCACCAAATCTTTTGACTTTAACCCAAATATTTAGACTATAAGTTCCTTTGAAAGCACCATTCATACAAACTAGGTAAAAATGGGGGATTGTTGGTAGCTTTCATATGCATTTAATATATTTATTTTACATCCTTATATATCCTCCAGGAAAACAACACACCTCCTCTCCAGCCTCATCGGTTCTATGTGTGGCTATTTCCATTCCGTTCTCCAAACCAAAACATCACAAACCTCCTCTATGTCCAATCTCCTTGGTGCTGGTGACAAGTTTTTCATTACTTCCCAATACATGTTAACCCTCCATATTTTATCTGAAGCATGGGATGTGGCTTCCTTTTGCGAAGGCTTAGCTTTATTCTCTGGGATGTGGCTCATCCCTCTTCGCTAATTTCAAGGGGGCACAGAAAAAAACAAACAACAAAAACACTGCTTCTCCTCAGTGTTTCATAGGAATCTCAACTAATTTTGATTCTGCTTGGTCTCCTTGAAATCTTTTTTTTCTGCTTTCTTTCCTGGATTGGGTGTGCCAATAGTCTAAAGACCATTCATTCTGATGGTTTTCAAGTGTTTCACCATTTATGTCAGAGAGACTAGCTTACATACAACGGGTGGCCCCCTGAGCCAGAAGGTTCACTTTTGAGCCTGGAGCTCTTCATTTCCCCTGCGGAAGCCACACCATTGTTTTTGGGGTCAGCTTCACTTCAGTCTCTTAAATCAGCCTTGCCTGTAATCAAGGGCTTTTTAGAAGTTCCTAGGTCAACAATTTGGAATTTCAACAGTGGCTAATCTTGCTGCATGTTCTGCACTATCATTGTACAATAAGTTTTAAACACGGCTTTTCCTAGCATTTTGATGCATCAACCTGTGCTTGGAATTAAATAATTGAATGCTTACTATGTACCATGAAGTCCACATTCATTATTTTCCTTGAATCTTCATGATTACCAGATGTATGATGTCCCAGTATTAGCCCCATTTTGAGATTAAAAAAAAACCAAAACAACTGGGCTTAGAGATAGACGTCTAAGTGATTTCCTCTAAGTCTTGCAGCAAGTAAGAGGTAGAGATGCAATTCAAGCCCAGGGCCTAAGTGTGTCTGCTTACTATGTAGCTCATGGCTCACAGCCAGCACCATTGCCTGCTCTATCTACCACTGCTTTCTTCTTGGCATTGGTTTCCTGTTGTCAGGTTAATCACTGCCACTGATAATGAGGTTAACCCAAGGATGCATTCAACTCAATAGAAGTGGGGGCGGGGGTGGAGGGAAGAGAGAAAGAGAGAGATTGACTTTAAGGGCATTTTTTTTTGGAAGGGCATTTTTGAGGGCATTCATGTGTGTGCAGGCATGGGAGTGATATGAAAAATATTTGTCAACCTGTAATCGTCAACTAATTAGAATGAGTATCTGTTATAACACTGGTGCTGGAGGCACCTTACTATGACAGGTGTTACCCCATTAGTTGGTGGATCTTAGGGATGGTCTGAGAGATCCCAGGGGAAGGCACTTAGGGATCCTCATACTGTAGCCATTTATCAACTGACAGCAGAAGTTTCAATATTTTTGCATAGAATATCAGCCCTATATGGGTGGATCTGAGGGAAGGAAAAAAAGATTTCAGAGTGAGATAAAGCTATTGCATACTCAAGGGTATATGTGAAATATGTTAAATTGATATAACAAATCTAGTCTCATCCTGTTCCAGTCCTTCCTTTACAGAGCAGCCAGAATAATCTTTCTAAAACAAATTCTGACCATTTCATTCATTCCCCTGTCTAAAAGTGTATGATGGACCCCGGGTCTGTCTCCTCCCTGATGAGAAGAAACTCCTCAGCTTGGTGTTCATGAAACCATGTGATCTGGTCTCAGGTTGCCTTTTGAGCATATTCCCTTCCTCCCAACACACACACACACACACACACACACACACACATACACACACACACACACCTTATCCTCCCATCGTATCAAAACTATTTGATATTCTGGAACACAGTGTGTTAGCTCACGTATTTTTGCTCAAGAAGTTCCATCCTGGAAATCTCCTACTAATCCTTCAGTACTGAACCAAACATTGCTTCTCTGGGAAGCTCACTTCTATCTGGGCTTCACTAAAAGCACATACATAGCTCTTTCTTAGTTCTGATTACCTCTGTCAAAACTGTTGTGTTGTATGTCAGCCTCTCACTTCAGATTGTGAACTCCATGCCCATATGTCCACAGCAGCTATCTTTCTTCATCTTGCAGCCTCTACTGTTAGTTCATTGCCTAATTCACGGTAGGTACTCAAGAAATACTCGAGAGGATAAAGCATAAAGCATTTGCTTCCATAATCTCACTGATCCATACATACCAAGGATGTGAGGTGCTGGAGCTGAGGGACAGAGGGTTTTGTGCATCACACAGCCCTTATGTGGGAGGGCCACACGTAATCCAGTCTTCTAACTCCAGAAGGGAAAATTTGGTGACATTGTACCTTTTTATAATACTCTAATAATTAATCCAGAAAAATCAAGTTAGGACCTTTTTGGGATATACCTCCCCTAAGGCTGGATTAGTTTCCCTCTCTAATGCCTTTCCCTGGTTACACCTATTCATTAGGTCCTGCTGCATCAGGAAGTTTACATGAGCCTTTCTTTTTGAGAAGAGTGTCTTAATTGCAAAGTCTCCTTACAACGCATGCCTTGAGTCTTGGGCTGGTTTGGGTCCTTCCTCTGTCTGTTCCTCCTTCTCTCCTCTTGACTGTTGGCTTTCTCTGGGTCTCCACATCCAGATGTTCCAGGACCAACGACTCTCCTTTGAGTTCTGGTTCCTCACATGGTCCTTGGGATCCACCAAGTCATCCAACCCCCTAAGGTGTTTTCTAGGAATCTATGGCAAGCAGGACTTTTAAACCATGACCTTATGCAGAGCTTATGTGCAGATGTGCTGCCTATTTGTCTGTTAACGTTCCTCTCCAGTATGGCTGGAGATGCTCACCTCCAGCTCCGGGGTCCCATCTTAACCTTGGCATCCTCAATGCTAGATTTCTCAAACTATCACCACAGTTCTTTGCTGCCCATGGCAATAGTATGGCAGTAAATTTCACTTTGGCTTTACATTGCGTAGAAGCGTAGCTTACAGATGACTATAAATTCCACATGTAGCTGGTGAAATATTCTGTATGGTCTTGGAATTGGCTTTAGACAGTTCCTGCATACTGACATTGTTTTCAAGTGAAAAGTAAGCAAAGGAAGGTCCAGCGCTGTGCTGTCCAATATGGTAGACACATGTGGTTATTAGGCCTTGCAATATGGTCAGTCCTAATTGAGATGTTCTGTAAGTATAAAACACACGCTTGATTTCAAATATAGTATGAAAAAAATGTAAAATGCATCCTTAATAGTTTTGATGTTGATTATATGTTGAATGATGCTATTTGAGGTATTTAAAGGTTAAATGAAGTAAGTTGTTAAAATCAGTTTCTTCTATTTATCTTTACTTTTTAAATGTGGGTAACAAAACACTGAAAATTCCGTATGTGGCTTGCACAATTTGCTATTCGACCGCACTGCTCCAGAGGATTTGCCTGGTGGCCCTTTAATATTAGTAAGCTAAATGTGTACAGATAGACTAGAAAGTTAGTGCATAATGAAAAAGCAGAAAAGGTTATGAATGACAGAAGGAAGCTTCTGCTCAGATTTTTAAATTTCTGTTCCCTGAATACGCCGACATGCCACCTGCCTGACAAGCTTTTAGGAAGGCCTGATAATCCCCAGAGAAATGAGGCTGAACCAAATGGCATCTGTCTGAGGCTCGCTGCATGGTTCCTAACCTCAGAGGCTTAAAATCAATATTGATTTTTGTCATTTATTTTACCCTGGCATTTAAATATCCTTTAGATTTATTGCCTTCAGGTTTTTGGTTAAGTTTCAGCTCTGGGTGTGATAGCAGGGGTGGTAATAAGTTATGTAAATATCATTTAATTTATGAACTCTGGAGCTCCGGGGTAGTTTTCAGTTCAAGAAATATATTAACCACATACACATCACCCTTCATTTTGCGGTGAGAATTTCCAAGCTGGGTCCCTAGTGTGCCACTTAATTTATGGTCTGGCCAGGTACCTGGATCTGAGCACAATATTTCAATATAAGTTGCTCCCGCATTCAGAGGGGAAGAAGACGGGCTTCAAAGAAGCCAGCTGGACAGCTGATGGATTGCTCTCTCTCTCCTCTATGCAGGCTGGGGCCTTAAGTAGCTTTTAAAGCTTGTCAATGGTTTGGGTCTTTTTCTGCTCTGAGAAGCTGCACGCACTGGCCTAGACAAGCGGAATCAGCCATGCTGCAGCAGGCAGAGGGCAGCTCCCAGAGTTACTTACGTTGACAGCCGGAGTGCCAGGAATTTCCCGGCAGACACTCATCACACTTAGGCCCTGTTGTTCCCGTCTTACACTCACAAAATCCTGAGCCATTACAACGATCATGGACTGAGCCCAAAGGGTTACAATAACACTCTGTAGAAACAAGACAACACACAGGCTGGAGACAAGTCTGCATGGCTTATAGGTTATCAACACAGGAGCGTCACTTAAATGCATCTCTTACTTAACGGAAGATGTCCGCTAATAAAATGCTTTGGCAAATAGGTTGATTTTGGCCCTGTGTATTGATTTCTCCGCCTGCCATGATGCCATTTTTATGATATGGGAGGAAATTAACTGAAAACTTTCGAGGAAATAAGACATCATGTTCTTCATGGCTAACAGATCATAATAGAGATTCCATTTGTTAGGGCATTTTTAGATGATTTAATGAACACCATGAGAAGTCTGTATATCAAGTATAAATCAATATGCCATCAGTGTAAAATCTGTTTTAAATTATTCAAATAGGCTTATCTGTTACACTCAATATTTGAGAACTGCTGAACATTGTTAAAGTGCATATGAATGCACTTTGTTCATTCAAAGGCATTTTTACTTGATGATTTGGGAGAGCACTTTAACGTGTATGTGAGGAGCCTGTAGATGTTGTTTAGATGCTAGGCACCTTAGTAGGGTTTTCATGCAGCCTAGATTAACAATCATGAAAGAAAAATAAAGTTTGTAATCCCAAGGAAATTTCAACATAGGCATAATTTGAGACACGTGTTTTTCAGGACAATACAACTTTGTCTAGTAAAAAGTAAATAGAATGTTTTCTTGATGACTTACACATTCTTATACACGATATTTTTGCTTCGGAAGCTCTGTTTTGCTGAAAGGCTGAATCTGACATGGGAATTGTTTAGGTTTCCATTAGTTTGAAAGGCAACAACGGCTAGTTTGCAGCTTTTGGAATTTGGGGGCCAAGGTTTCTTTCCTCATTACCCTACTGTATAATCTGGGCAAGCCTCTCTGTCACTCTGTTTCCTTTATATCAAAATGCCCCATTAAGAGGTTTTCTTTTTAAAAACCAAATAAAATACCAAGCAACCAACCAAGAGAAGCCCTGAGAACTTCAGCTTATAAGCATCAAGTTTAGCGTTTTAGATTGGCAACAGAGATTCAAGCTTTAACGTTACAAAAAGGTCTGGAGGTTTGGCTCTGTTTTTGTCACTGGGATTAATTTGACAATTTCGTCAAAGAATGTAGAGGGTCTTAGAATTATGACTTATTTCATGTTGATTAAGTCAGTTTTTGAGTTCAGCATTATTGTGATACAAACATTCGACTAATAGAGACATATGGAGGGAAAAATGAATCTAAATAAACTAAAATGCTCCCTCTTTGCCTGGCTTGGTTTGTGCTTAATAACTAAAGTTTTATTTTAAGTGGGCATTTTTTATCTTAATGTGTGTGTATATGGGAGTTGTTTTTTAAAACAGTGATTTTGTTGTGGCTTTAAAAATGTTGTGTGTACATTTATAAGTATGTATTTATAATTACTCAACACTTACTTTGTTTCTTACTATTTAAAGTGTATAAGTTGACAATGAGTCACCAACACTTCGTAAACCAAGGAGTAGAGTTATATCTGGCCAACATGAATTCATGTGCTACTCTAGTCAATTAGCTCATAGCAATTATATTAATATAAGGGTTTAGATGCAAAGAAAGTAAACAGAATTTTTTAAAAATGTGGAACATCTACACCGTAGGATATCCCAGTAGTTGTCATAGGAAAAGGTGATTAAGTGTAGTGTTATTCAAACAGTAATGAAAATAAGTGACAAGGAGAGGTGTGGTCTACACAACACCTTATGTACAAATAACTTAGTTTTTTTAAAAAATATCATTTGTGGGATCACAGTCAATGGTAGATATTGGTGATGGCCTTGGAGTATTATATTTTATTCCATGAAATTAGAAAGAACATGCAGGACTATTAGGCTAAAACAACATGAAATATTTTTGGAGGTTTGATTAAAAAGTTATACTACAGTTGATTTATAGGTGTTAGAAGTGTTTTATCTATAGAAGGTACCTCTGGTTACCTGATCTTGGGTTTAAAGGGGTATAAAAAATAATACAGCCTAATTTGAGATATGTTTAATAGTAATTGCTGAGCCCTGTGTTTCATTCTGATGTCAAGCTTGTTATCAGAGATTATTAGCAGTGATTATCCAAGGTCATGAACCACATATCCTCTAGCTTCCTGCTTAATGCTTGAGTTTATATGAAACAGAAGCATGCAAGGGTGTCAGCTTCATGTAATTGCTGTGTCATACAGGGTAATTACATGCATCTTTGGAGACATGGCTGTGCTTGGAATTTGTATGAAAATGGGTAAGTTCACAGGTAGTCACAAAAAAGCAATCACTGTGGCAACACGAAATAGTCTGCATTTTATATTTGCCATAATATAAAATGATGCAAATAGTTTATGACATCTATTTCAATGCAGTCTACATTTTGTCAAAGATAGGGGCTATTCCCTTATAACCAGGGTGGTGGATTTCACTGTCATTTGTTAAAGAACTGACAAAAGTGCCTTTCTTTTCCTCAGAATTAGAGAAGACTTAGATGAAGTTCAAATTTTCCAAGATTGGCGCTTAATTCTGCGAAAGTGAATTAGGTAAATATCCATTCATTTTCACTTGTGCTTTCTATACAAAAAGATATTAAACTCTCAATTACTTGTGGTGTATGCTCTTAAATTTAATTCTCAGTCCTGCCTCAAGCCTCTTGGGGAGCTGAACTGTGGAAAAGAGGGAATTGGTTCATGCTTTTTCATAGGGCAAACCTTGGCAATAGGGAGCCACAGGCTACCAATGGCCCTCAGAGAGCAAACTCCAGCGTTAGCCTGGTGGATAGGCAGCCCTGATACCTCAAGTGGGAAAAGCAGAATCCATAGCTCTTTTAGGAAATAGTTATTGATTCGTTGTATGCATATATAGACTCGAGACAAAAGATAGACTGTAACATACACCAGCTAGCCACATTTTTCAATTTATTCTTTACAAACAATTTTACTCCTTAGGAAAAGGGCAGCAATTTAAGGACTTTTGGCAGGTGGGGAATATTATCACTAATTTCAATGGTACTTAAAAATTCTCATCTTTGGGTTTACTAATTTACTTGGTTTGAAGAGTATAAAATACTGAATAGAAACATGTTTGTTTCAATAAAATAAAATTCCCCAAAGATTTATAATTTTAACTAATAAACTTTCTAGAAATGGAGAAAACAACTGCTTTTGATTTTTTTAAGTAAGGAAAAAATGTATATTAAGCTTTCCATATTTCATCTCTAGTTCATGCTATTTAAAAGACAAAAGCTAAATAGGCTTTCTTCCTGTCTGGAGATAATCCAACATAGATTTACAACACAACTATACCTTTTAAAATTGAATAGGAAGTGCAGATTTTATAGTTCATAAGATTATTTTAGGACTGGAAAAAGGCCAAAGTTCATAAGAATAGAATATTCTGAGTAAAACATTGGGATATAGTTGTTACCTATGAAATATTATATGGAGTAAAATCTTTTCTTTTAGGGCCTTTTCTTTGTTCATTTAAAATAATATGAAATTAACACTGTAAAATATTTTAATCTTAGGTGTTTTACAAAAATGATTTTTATTCCTCTGTTCCTATTTATTTTACCTTTCTCTTGTTTCCATATTTATAGTATGACATTTATATATTTTGACAAATGACATTCAGTGAAATGTAACTCTGCATTCGAAATTCTGACAGCTACATGTCTTTTGGGTTATTGATAACCTCAAATCTTTGTAGCCCTAGTAGTTGGAAAGGCAATTGAATTTCTGTTTGCAAGCTCATAGCGGAATTGTTACTGTCATCCAAAAAAGCATACCATAACTAGAAGTCTGACAAGCTTAGTTTTGCTAATTATGTCAGGATATTTGGGAGAAGGTGTTCAAGCTTTGAAGTCAGAAAACTAACTCTTCAAGAAAGCTATATGATTTGGGTCAATTTGCCTTACTTTTCTCAACTAGAAAATAGAGGAAATTATCAGTGGAATACTTACCCCACAGTTTTGTTAATGAAGATTAAGTAGAAAAAACATATTTGCAAGTGAATTCACAGTTTACCAAGTGTTTCCTGTGTATCCCATATGATCCCAGTTTGACCAGGAGTTCTGAAATGACTTACCTAAGGCACACAGCTATTAAATAACAAACTGGGACGTGAACCCAGCTCTTCAGCCTCTAAGTCCAGTAATTTCTCCACTAATTCACAAATAATAGATAAGGAGGCACTTTGAAAAATAGAACATACTGTAGATATAAACAGTATTATGTAAACTTGGCCTAACTGAATTCAAAACAACTTGTATAGCTATATTATGTGATCCTGGGCAAGTGGCTACATGACCTTGACAATCCAATCAGAAAACAATGCCCCAGAATTGCAAATTAATTAGATTTCTTTTTTGATCAAAAGACTGCCTGCCATTTTTCAGCATGTGTTTTCTATTTAAATTAGTCTCTATGTGCAAAATTCTACTTTTAAAATTAGTTGCCTGTGTCGACCTGCTGGTGAGGTAACAGATATGCACGTACCCTTGACCATTTCAAATATATGCATTTCTTCAAAGTAAATTGTGAAGTGAAATTCCATTTATTATTTCTTATTTTTCCATCAGCTCCCTTTCTTAAAGATGGGTTCCACTACGCAAAAGGTAGGAGAAACTTTTTTGGGTGGGAAGGGCAGGTTCTCACCTTGTTTATGCTGACTACTGCTCAAGTAGTCATGGTGGGTGGGGGAGAGCGCTCGAGAGAACGCTGTGGACCCAGTTTCCCAGAGCTTATTTACCTTGGAAGCTAAGAGAATTAATTGCCTACAATAGCTTTGAGAAATTGCTTCTCCTTTTGGGGGCTATAAGAAAATTAAATAAATGGAACTTCATCACTACGGATGGAAAAGTCAGGCAAACTTCTATATTACCAATTGCTAATGGCTTTCAATTCCAAATGGCAATATTTTTAATCAATCGATATTTGTTGGTTACCAGTTATATGCAAGAGTTTATCCTAATTTCTCATAGCTATAATTAAATCCCATAGTGTGAGTTTCCATCTTAAAAGTTGAATGTACAACTTAAGACTTTATCAGTTTGATATTACCAGGTTTTAAGATTGCATGCAAAAAAAAAAAAAAAGAAAGAAAGAAAGAAAGAAAGGAAGAAAGAATAATAGAAAATTCTTTATCTTCTAAACATGATTTTTGGCTCACCATCTTTAAAGCAACAATAACATAAGGATTCAGGATATATCCCCCAATTCAACCAGCACAAGAGAATTTTAAGTCTACCACAAGGATGTTTTCTCCATTGAGAAAGTTCATTCTGGCTCAGCCGTGGTGCAACTCAACAGCCTCTTCACCTTAAATAGCTCCCCATAGCTCGAAAGGCACAGAACAATAGCTGAAATTATAATGGAACTGACCTATGCACACATTCTCATCGTCCAGCTGTGCGGAAGCATTTCTGAAGTAGCCCAGCCTGCATAACTCACAGTGCTGCCCTCTAGTGTTGTGTTTACAGCTCACGCAAATGACTGTATTGAGCAGATCGATATAACTGCATCGATTGGAGTGGCCGAAGCATTCACAATCTTGCAAGGAAGAACAGAAATGTATACAGAGTGTATACAGCAGCAGAGTCACAGCACACTACATGCTCGGATAAAATGAGGAGTGGAGAAGAGATGGCGGGATGGCATTACATCTATGTGATGCAACATGACACATGGCAACCACAGGTGGTGGTGATTGGCATGGGAGTAGCATCTGTTTCAAGCAGGATAGAAAGGTTGGACACTCAGAACATGACTGGAGAGTGCTAATTCTTGGCATACAGTATGAACAGAAGCATTTGCAGGTGTACACCTTTTAAAATTTGGGAAGGCTCGGTTGCCATTGATGCAAAAGTCTAATTTTTGCACCCTGAGAAATTTACTGTCTTGGTGCCACTTCCCCCATTTTTTCTTCATATGTGCACTCTTTAAAAGAGGGAGGGAAGTATGTGAGCATCGAGGGCCTGAGCCTGCCATCACCCATGACTCCTCTGTTTGGAGTCTCATTATCATTTATGTCAAGACAGTAACTTGGTCAGGATTTCCAGTAATTATGGCAAATTTCATAGGGATCTAGACAACTAAACAATTCTCTATTTTTGTTTTTTTTCCAAATGCTAAGAGGGAAGACAGCTTTTGTAAGCCTTTCATCAGGCCACATCTGATGTTTGTTTATCTGTGAGAGAAAATATAAAAAGCAGGGAGAAGATTTGTATGGGAAAAGCGCTCTTAAGATTTCCTTTTCACCCAAGTTTCAAGCTAAGTCTGCTACAAAAGAAGGATTAGGCAGCTAATGATTGGGCAGGACCCTCAGATTTCCTTTTCTTTGTTTCCCCAGAATGTTGGAGGGGCCTCTGAGGCTGAGGTGTGAAGGTGGGAAGAACTAGACAAGGAGATGGGGAGAGAGGAGGAGAGCAGGTGGGGAAGGGTGGAGAGTGACTAGATTTTCTCTGTTGCATCTCAGGGAAGCAAGAAGTTGTTCATCTAATTCAGCGTTTTTCAAAGAAGTGGTAAAGACAAAGCCTTTATGGGTGGAAATAACTATCAAATCAGACAGAAAAAAAAAAAGGTGGGAGGAGTAAGTATGTGGGGAAGCTAATTTGTCTTGTCAAAATATGGGAGTAGGCCTAGCTGGACATTGATGAGGAAGGTCAACCGTGAGAGTAAACCTTGTTTATCTAATCTAAAAATGCTCCTCTTATTAAAAGTCTGGCTTTTACTTTACCTCACTATGAAGCCAAACACAGCCACTATTTGAGCTCATTCATTCATTCATTCATTCATTCAATAAATATTTTATTGGGTTGATCTACCATGTGCCAGGCACAATGCAAATGTCTGAGTTACCCTTTTGGCCTAGATAGATTTTGGAAGTAACGCATTTGATGAGCAGAGTAAAGATGAATGGGCACTGTCAAAATGAATAAGGAGGAATAAGGAAGAGTGACTAGAATTTTTTTTTTTTTTTTAACATGCTGCTACTCATCAGAATGTTGTGGGTTCATTTAGTGCAGAGCCAGTTGCTATAGTAGAGAATGGAGGTTGAGGTCCTGAGAGAAAAAAATCAAATTTGGATAGAAGCAGAGGAGGACACTAGAAATTGTAAAGAGTGGAAGATACCAGGAATAGGGTCAGCACCTTGGGGACTCTAGATGCTTAAAGAGAAGCAAGAAGAGGGAGGCTCCTGAAGGCAAGCCACTTCCTTTAGGGGAGGCTAGCTTTGTCACCTGTCTAAGTGTGCTGGGGGCTGGGACTGGGAGGAAGCAGAGAGAGCGAAGGAGAACAGAGTGGGAAGGGGGCCTTTGGGACTTGGATGTGGGAGATGGGGTAAGAACATACCTGCATAAATGCAGTAGTTAAGGCATACCACATTATTAATAATAAAATAATAACAACAAAAATAATACAATTACAGATCACCAAATGAAATATTCTTGGAAAACAAACATTTCACTCCAATACACTATATCTCCCCAAGTTACACCTTGTTTATGCTGGCATTTCTGACTTGCTAGGAAACCTAAAAGGCCTCTAGAACCTTCCTTGGTTGAGGATTTGAAACAGGGAGAAACTTTCTGGTCTAGAGCCACCCAAGAATAGAGGGTGCAGGAAGGAGACACAATTCTCAAATCTAATTGCTTCTCGGGACTTCTCCAGAGCTGCCTGGAATTGCTGAGGACTGGGCACCAACAGCCCTGTCCTCTGGCTCTCCCTCTCCAGAAGAGGTTCCTTGCCAGCCCAGGTTGGCCCTTGGTGCACCTAATATAATTTATTCAGCTTTTTTCAAAGGCATCATTTATGTGCATAAATTGATCCTAGGAACTTTTTGAAACTACATAGAAGTCCTTGTTGTCAAAAAAGCTTGTTTTGTGGGCAAGACAAACACATGCTTAGAATAACTAGAAAACAAAAGAGCATGTGCTAAGAAAACCAGACAGAGACACAGAGCGATCTAAGGAGAAATTCATTTAACTTGAGGAGAATTAGGAAAAACTAACTTAACACTGGGCTTAACACCGAGTCTTCTGTGAGGGTACATAGGGTTTATTAGGGGGAAAAAAGGCAAGGTGTGGGGGATGAGCATTTCAGGTGAAAGGGGAATAGAGCGTGCAAAGGTATGAAGTTGGGGTAAGTGTAGAGAATAAGGCTGGAGAAGTTTCATAATGTAGTTCCTTTGTGGGTATTTGAAGGGTTCTGTAAGATCTGTCCAATGGCCAGAGCTACATGCTGAGCTCCATCTGACAGTTTTATCCAAGAAAGAAAACATACCCATAGATATCCAAGTTCAACACTTACAAGACCCAGCCCATGAATCTCCACGGACACGTCAAATGTCACACTACTGTCTACTCTTTGAATTCAATGGATAGTGTACATTTTCGTGATAACATTATTTGTTTCTGGGTCTTGTTTGAGAACCGATTTATTATTTTCAATAGGAAAAGATAAATAATATAAGTTGTATAAATAATTATATATAGAACCATATAAGCTAAACACCCAATATTAATACATTTATTTTAGAAGATAAGTGGATATCCAAATGTCTTTTAATCTAGGAAATAGGGTCCCAGTTTGATTCTTTTAAGACTTCTAAGACTTCTGAGACTTCAATAAAGCTGTCTTCTCTGGCCATGATATATTTGAGAATGTAAAATGAGAAAAAGATCTTTGAAAAACATGAGAGCACTGTATAAATGTAAGGCATCTCAAATGTAATTATTATTTTTCAGTATCCTGTTAATCTACCACTCTTTAGGAACTAGTCTTTCCATGTAGGCACAGAATCTTTGAATGATCATTAATGATGTGGTCTGAGCTACATTATCATATTAAGACCCTGCAGGGATGATACTAATAGTTCAATAATTCTTTGATCTTCCAGTTCATTGACTTACCATGTCCTCCCTTCCCTTCTTACAAAGTATAGAGTCCATGGTCCATCCTTACAGTGACTTCCTTTCATACACTCTCATCTCCCTTAGCCCCCCTAGTGCCCACCCCAATCATAGTCTCCTGGGAAAACCTGATCCTGCTTAAATACAACTCTCCACCTTTCCATGCCTATACCCCAGGAGCTAAATGTGGCTGGAGTTTTTCTCCAACTATTTTGAAACGAGTCTCATTTTAAGTTCATGATCATAAACCTCAAAGGGACCTTTAGGACTGCCAGGCAACCCTTCCTGAAATAGGGGCTTCTGGGCCACCACTCTCTTTTGCTTCTCCTTCTTCCCTACTCACTGATGTAGGAAAGACATTAGGGTCCAAAGCCGACAGCCCAGAGAGAATTCTTCAGGCATCTTTGGTGCAAAAATGTGGTTTTATTAAAGCATGGGGACAGGACCTGTGGGCAGAAGGAGCTGCACCGGGGTCATGAGGAATGGCCCATTATATACTTTCAAGTTGGAAGGCAGTTAGGGATAGCTTAAGTCTCTAAGGAATTTTGGCAGCAAGGTTTCCAGGACCTTGACGGGGCTAGCTATTGTTGGGAAAAGGTCATTTATTACCGTCTAATAAAACCTTAGTCATGAGACCCTTCATATGTATATCGGTGGGCCATATGCTTGGCGGATGATTGCCAACATGTATCTTGGGGGTTTAAAGATAAAGGAATTTTTATATGTTAAAGTAGACTTACAGAGTCCTGAGGGTCAGGTTAGGATTGCCTTTAGCCCTTAGCAAAGTGTCAACGTTGAGGCAGCTGAGTCCCTAGAGGAATGTCACTCTGCCTGTTTCAAAGACTTGTCAGTGGGCTGTAGAGAGTAAGGAAATTTAATAATTTTTCTTCTTCCTTTGTTTTCCACATCACTCACCATTGTTTTTCCCTCTCTTTTCCCTTTTGTCCTTTCTCCTCAAATGTCTCAGGGCTTAGTTCTTGGAACTCTTTGCTCTTTAGGCTCACCCTAGAGCCAGGGTTCTTTACCTAGCTTTGTGACTTTATATACCATCTATATGCTAACATTTCCAAAATAGTTATTTCAGCCTAGATCAACTCACCAGTTAGTGAGACTTCCTCCAAACTGACCTACTCAATTGCATTCTTTTTTTTTTTTTTAAGATTTTATTTATTTATTTGACAGAGACACAGCGAGAGAGGGAACACAAGCAAGGGGAGTCGCAGAGAGAGGGGGAGAAGCAGGCCTCCCGAGGAGCAGGGAGCCCGATGCGGGGCTCGATCCCAGGACTCTGGGATCATGACCTGAGCTGAAGGCAGACGCCCAACCATCTGAGCCACCCAGGCGCCCCTCAATTGCATTCTTATTCTACACTTGGACATTTAATGGATATCGCAACTTCAAGACGTTCATAACTGAGCTCTTAGGTTACCTTTCCAAACCTGCTACTCACCCAGGCAGCCCACCCTATCTCAGTAAATGGCATCTTGATTCCTCTAATTGTTCAGCTTAAAATTCCTGGAGTTGTTCTTGATATCTCTTTTTTTCCTCACCCCGACAATCAATCAGCAGATCTTGGCTATGCTTTTAAAATACATTCTAAATCTCACCACCTCTTACTATCTCATTTTTAGTTAAAGGCACATGGATTATTGCTTTGGTCCCCAAACTGCTCTCCTGGCTTCCATCCTAGCGATAGTCTCCTCTCCACACATCAGTCAGAGTGACTCTTTCAAAACTTTAATTGGGTCATGACATCCCTTTGCTCATAATCCTAATGGCTTCTCATGTCATTCAGAATCAAAGACAGAGTTTAAATTCATTCATTCCCAATTGATCTGGCCCCTGGCCTTCCTGGTGGCTCATTGCTCTCACTCTCTTCCTCACTGGCTGTACAAAGCTCCATGTTGCTCTGCAAACATGTCAGGGACTTCCCCAGGGCCTTTGCTTTTGCCTTTACTTCTGTGTGGAACATTTTTCCCCTGGACATCCCTATGACTTGCTTCCTCACTTTGTTTTGAGGTTTCTGCTCAAAGAAAATTCTATGACCACTCTATCGGAAATAATAGCCCCCGGCCTAAACATACTAATCCTCAATTTCCTAACACTATTTAATTTTTTTTTGTAGAATTTGTAGTATCTGAGAAGTGTATTTTAAAAAATTTTCTCTCCCATACTCTAAGTATAAATACGTGAGTGTAGACTGTATCTGTTTTGTTCACAGGTGTAACCATGAAACTCAAAACATCTTCCACACATACTAAGCACTCAAAAAATGCTGTTGAATGAACATATCAACGAATCCGTGATGATCTTGAGGTGCCTTCCTTTGCGAAACAGGGGAAGACACAAGAGGACAGTTATGTTTAAATTCATCGCTCCCCATATGAATTCCATAAGAGTCTGGCTAGATCCCGGATATTAAAGAGTCTAGAAAAACAACAGCCATACAACAAGATATAACGGAGTTAGTGATTATTTTTAGCTGAGGGTTGTCTATATGTCAGTGAAGATCAGTTTAGGCAGAAAAAAGGAGATTTGTAAAAATTGCTATGGTTTTATATAGTTTTTCAATCTCAAATTACATTGTAGACAAGTTTTAATTGCTGTTGTGTAGACAAGCTTATGGGGTCCTCTAGAACACATTTCCAAGGCATGGCATGCAAGCATTGGCAACACCTATTTCCTGAGATCCACCTTGTGCCAGGAAACAACATAGACTAGTCCTGCCGAGTCTACCGCAGTTTCTCAACCTCGGCACCATTTACATTTTGGGCCAAATAACTCTTTGTTTTTCTATATCCTGGAGGATATTTAGAAGCATCCTTGGCCTCTGCCTACTAGATGCAGGGCAACCCCCAAGCTGTGACAACCAGAAGTCCCCTGGGGGGGAGGGCAAAATCCCCCGTCGGACATGTATGACATCATAAAAAGCACTTATGATAATATGGTCTTAGTAGCTTAGTTAAGAGCGATAAAAAACTAGGGACCAATAAAAGCTAGGGATGTTTTAGAAGAAGAGTTCAGAGTTGGTTTTCTAGATCAGGAAAGACCCAACCCTTTTAGGTAAATGTTCTTTCCGACTGCCACTGGCTGGGAGGAGGGCTAGGCAAGGAAGGGTTCCCAGAAACAAGAGGTTGGAGGGAGAGAGAGTGGAAGACGAAGAATGGCAGAAGAGGAGGGGTTAAATTTCCCCTTGGTGTCTTTTTTCTTACTGTTCCCCGTGTTGCCTCTAATCATAGGTTACATTGCCTACACAATTAGGAGATCAAGTACTCAGAATGGCACAGGTAGTTTTTTCTGTTTTGGCCAAATGAGGCAAGCTGGTGAAAATTCATTTTAGTCCCTCAAAAAAAAAAAAGGATTTGGGAAAAAGAGTTTAGATAGAAAGTGAAGCAATGAGAACCCTTAAAAAGTATTTTCCCCTCACTGCCTTCACAGTCACCGTGCCTCGGAGGGGCCCCGTCCAGGGGTGATAGTGAAGTGGCTGCAACGTGTCGCTGGTCCTTACCACCCCCACCCCAGACCCTCTCTTGCAACCTGATGTAGCTTTTGAAGCTCTTCCACATACATCATTTGATGACGATATGGAGTTTTTTTTATAAGTCATTAGGTGGCTTCTCCCTGCCTCTGGAGATGTGTGTGAACCTCATTAGAGCTGTGACCCCAAGAAACTCAAGATTCAACGATGCAGGGTCAAATTCCAGGTCAAGAGGCCTCTTGTATTTCCAGTGTGCTTGAGATGACGTAAAAGAGATGGAATCTGTGAGAGTCCCTGTTGCTTCCCTTTCTCCCCCACCTCCATGGTTTCTTTGTGTAGATTTGCATTTTGGAGATAAAGATCTCCCTTCTGTGGCCTCAGTGACTGCCTTCTGATGTGCACTCAAACCCAAACAGGCTTGATACCCTGGGAACCTGTGGCTGTCCTGTTCCTAAAGAACTTCGTCCCCCCAATTTCAAATCCATCTGCATTCCCCTCAAAAGGGCATTGTCCATGTTTGATATGTAAAAGCACATTGTGAAGAAAGTTTAAGACATGGTTTAAATACTGTCGGTTTCCCCTTTCCCATTTTCAGACCAGTTTCATCTTTTTCTTTATACACCACAGAAGGACCGACTCAACATTAATTAAAATCTGGAAAATGATTTGACTCTATTCAATAAGGAATAAAGAAGCTATTATGGTCATTTTCACCGAGTGGGTCAAACTAACTTCAATTTTGCTAATAAATATATTTCTTTGTAAGAGGTGTTTCATGAAAAAAAAAAATCAAAAACATGACATAAGCCCAACAGTCAAGGGTGGAAAACAAGACACACCTGTCACATAGGACATTTAAAGTAAAATGGTAAAATAAAAACAGGAGTCTTTATGTTTCCTGAAAAATCTTCATTCTGTGAACGACAGATGCTAGCTGGAATGGGCTATTCATGAGTCACAGATGAGATACTGCTTGCTTTCATTTAAAGAAAGCAATATAACTATTATTTTCAGGTCGTAATCAATGCTTCACCCGGTGCAGATCTGCACTGGTATTTGTTCAAATTCATTCCAAACAATGGAAATAGAAATTGTAAGGTATTTCATTTTTCACAAAGTCAAATGGGCACAAAACACGGAACCTGCCACTCTGTTCTCATGAAAAGCATCCTTGAAACTCACTTAGAGTGAGTTTCTTTATTTTCAATGCAAATGAGCAACAATGTTAATACTCTAACATTCATGTTCTAAACAGGATCCTAAACTGTTTTAATGCTTATTTACACATTAATCTTTCAGAAAACAAATGTTGCAGCATTTTTAATTTACAGCAGTCAAGTTTCTGAGTGAAGCTTTTTTTTCCTCTTACAGATGACATTCTCAGTACTATTTGATGCATTGATTGGAATCAGTCAACATGCCTCACCAATAAGCTGATGGGTACACTTCACAGATATTCCAGATTCATACAGTGCAATGTTTCACAACACATAACACCATGAAATCACTGTATGAATCCAAGAATTCCTACCTCTCTTGTGGTTTGCAACTTGAACAGAAGAAACTGTTGACAAAGCTAATTTGGGAGCAACTGGATAGGTTTAAAAGAATGAACAGCACATTAGAAACAATAGTGAAACGTTCAAACTGTAATAACTTATTATCAACCCACTCAAAAAGGAGCCCTAAAGGAAGAGACTATTTGTATATGTTGTTTCTGGGAGATGGTTTCAGTCACAGAGGAAGTCTTGTATTTGGCTGAAAATGGTTTAACATCGTCAGTAATAAAGTTTAGAGGTTTTATTTTCAGAGGCAAAAAGAATTACCATTTAAGTTAAGAATCCAGTTATGCAAGGATTATTCCAGTAACAATATGGGTATTAGGATCCCCTATTGTCCCTCTCTTAAACCAGTAGTAATGTTGAGGTAATTTGCCATCTCATTGCCTCAATTCACTGTCATTCTCTCTGTGTAAACCAAAGCTCATCTACATATAAGCCAGTTCGATTTTTTTTGTTGAACAGATTAGACATCACAGAACAGAATCACAATGTCAGCCATCTGGCCCTCAGTCTGAGTCACCTTGAATCTGTCTCCCTTTAAAAGAGTATAGTCTTCTCAACATTTATTACCTCTGTGATGATATCAGTTCGCTAATGGCAGAGATTTCTCTCTAAGTTGCCTGCCATTTCTTTTCCAATTATTCATGATGAGTTGTTTGTGAAGATAGCTAAAGCAGGATAGAGCCTGATGTTCTTTGCAGATGTTGACAAGATAAATTACGGCTGCACCGAACTGGCCTCTGCCAGAAAGTGCACCTTTAGCTAAAATTTCAGGTTTAAGCACTTTATTCAACTGCGCTGCTTCTCACATAAATTCATTTGAACTCATTATCCACATTCGAAAAAACTGCACCTGGTGTTAGCTGGAGATTTCTGAAAGTTTTCAGTACTGTGACACTGACAGGAAACATAGCAAAATAATTAAGTAGGTCTGTTTCAGGTTTTGAACAATGCATAATCTTGTTCATCTCAAAACTCACTGTGGAGAAGTGTTAAGTCTTAGATCCTGTCTTGTATAATTTGTTGAGCTATGAAATTCAATGGGAAATACTGAGTGACATTTTACTGAAGATGCTCTCATTGAACTCGCCAAGGAATAAAGCCACTAAACCTCCCCCGAATCCTCGTAGAATTATACTAATAGGGCTAAGCTTGATCTGTATTTCTTCTTCCACATATGTATGCAGAAACTTGAAAAAATTCATTTGGAGCAGATGATTAAGATAATTCTATTTGCTACTAATATATGTATCTAGGACAGTCTCGATTTCATCACTCTGATCAAGGACTGAAAATGCAGCCCTTCCAATTTGACTCCCCAACAAATTGCTAATATATTTTGTTTTGCTTAGCAGCTATTTCCTGGTTCCTCCTTTTGCTCATTTCCTCCTCCATCTGTATTCATTAGAGTTTAAAAGGAACATCCTGTATGCAACGAAGGAAGGTGGAAGCCAAAAATGTGCCTTTTTTTTGAGAAGCAAGAAGGCAAAAGAATACAATTTTCCATTAAAATAAACTATTTATACATGTCTGTGTATATCTATAGGCTAGACATTAATGGGAATTTAACATTGCACTGCATCTTATGACTTCCATTGCCCAGGTTGTAGAAGTTCTATTTCTTCCTGTGTAATCACAAGGCTGTCAGTTTTTCTCTTTTATTTATTTACTTATTTTTGGTGTTAGAAGTCAAAAATAAGGACAGACAGAAAGCAGGCTGCCCTTAATGCAGCTAGAATTAATTGTTAATTCACAGAGGATTATAAGTGGAAGCCCCAACAGAGAAAAATATATTGTGATGTGGAAGAGAGAGAAAGAGAGAGAGACAGAGACAGTGAGAGAGAGAGAGAGATCCAAATTTCTGCCAGTCAATATGGAGTGACAGTAAAAGAGAACAGGTCTCTTAGTGGTTACAATACTGTCTTTATCTATTTTTCCCCCTGACCTTCAACACAACTGATGTACCAGTTTAGTTAAGAAGAGCAAAAGGGAGACAGCAGAAGGATGCCTGTACCAACTCATGAGTTTTTAAGACTTATTATTTATATTCCAAACTGTGATGGCAACAAAACTCCAGGCTTCTCTAGGGACTGACGGACTTCAACCTAAATTTGATAAAGTGCTTAAAACTTCTATGACATCTAATTTTTTCCTCTGTCTTTCACTATAATATTTTCAGGACGCTCTTCATATTAGAAATAATATTTGAATCATGATTCTTTCAAAGACATGGCATTCATGATAATGCTCTTACTTAGTGCTAAAAAATAGTATATGGGATTTTTCCCCTAAACATGTGGGATTTTATATCAGTAGGAATTTTACATGCTCCTACCTTGTTTTGGGTTAGAAACCTCAAGGGAAGAAATATTCGGCCATATCCTATTAAACTTTGGAGGATCTGCATGCATCAGGAAAAATCAGGGTATGTTATTTTCAGCTATAATGTTATTTGGTCTAAACAGAAAATTATATGGACAAAGACACAAACCACACATCTGCTCTTTAACTTGGTTGTGGATGCACTTAACAAAACATGACTCCCGCACCAAACAAGAGCAAGCAATTGATGATTCCCAAAACATTGAATGGACATTAAATATATAGCCCCTTTGCTAACAAAGCTATATACATTTACTTTTGCAATAAACTAGAGTGTTCTTACAAATAACCAAATAGGGACTTCAGCATCTCAAATCATTATATAAAGCTGGTGCCTGAGACTAGAAGATAAGGCAAAAGAAATAATTTCTCACTCGAAGATTCCATTCTCTGCAATTTATATTTACAGATATGAACTTGTTACATTAGTCTTTCATGAGAGATTCTTCAGGGTGTGTTTTAAGTGTGAGCCATTATCTCTGCAAAGAAGTGGATTTATTTCCTATTTTTATTTATACAATTTCTCAGAGAAAGAAAGGGAATACTGGTGATTCTGGCTTAAGGAGACTAGTGCAAGATGCTTTTGATCATAGCTAAGGTTTGTATATATGGATGTGTACATGTCTTCATGATTTTTTTTTATGACTCCACCTATGTTTCTAGAGTTTTTGGTTCCAATCCAGAAGTAATTATAAGCATTGCTAATTTGAGAATTGATATTGTTTCTTTCTTAGACTCATCGTATATATATTCACCATATATATAAAAAAAGGCTGTGGAAAACCAGAATAGCCAGGTTTAGGACTGGATGCTTTAAAATTACTTTTGTGAAGGTGCATAACTCTTAAAGCAGTCATTTCATGACTCCAATCTACCACCCATTCAGATCAGCTCAAAACTACATCTTCGTGTGGTACTTTGGGACCACCCAAGTCCACAAAAAGAGCTCTCACCTCTAAACTCCTATAGCATGTTACTGTCTGTGCTCCTGATTTCTCATTGATATGTGGATAAGGCATGAGTTTTAATATTATTAGTTTAAATTTCATAGGTCTATTTCTCGTCTCTGTAATTAGATTGGATCTCTTTGAGGAAGGGCAAAGCCTGGCAAGAGGCCTCAGTAAATATCTAATAATTGAGTAATTGATATCAAGTGGCTAGGCTACTGTAAACAGGTATTATCAGATTGTTTCCTCCATAATTAGATTATAACAAATAACATTCTTGCAAGACATGGTACTTTCACTCTAACTTTGGTTTTTAAGTATTCGTTAAAAAAGCTGATTTACTGTGTGTGTGTGTGTGTGTATGTATACAAAGGCAGACGAAGTCTTAATATTGATATTACTGTATCTGTCAAAATGACGAATGAAAAAAGAATGTAATAGTATTTTCTACATTTGTATCCAAATGTTACTAAACACCTAGATACTCAGAAACATATAGGCAGAATATTCAAGCTTTTGACTGAATGATGCTTTTCACTTGAGCATCTTGGTGCTGGGTAGATACTGAATTAACAAAACAAGCCTACCTGACCTGTGACGATCACTTTTGAAAAACTATACATTTGCATTTTGAGGGAATTAATGTGATTTCTAGAAATTATTTTAAAAAATAGTGGTTATATATAGAAAATGTATTTATTTACATTATTGGCTCCACAGTAAGAATATTTCAGTTGTTGAAATGGTTCTCTCCATTTTTTTCTTGTGGGAGAGACAAATACAGATCATAAGTGTGGGGGGGTGGTGTTTGTAAATTTAATGTTAAGCATTCAGTGACTTGTTTGTCTTGATGAAATTAAGTAATATGATTATTTTGTTAATAAGGTTTGCCAAGAAATTTAAGACAGAAATTTATACCAAATCAATTTAAAAGTGAGTTTTGAAAATTAGCTTCATAAATTAAACTGTATTCCATATTCCAATATATCAAATATTTGCTTATGCTTATTTTTTGTGTATTCTTTTCCTAGTATTTTATAATTTTTCCCTAGGATGCTAAGGTTCCACTTTAAGGATCTTCCTATATGTATAAAAAGTTAACATAGGTCATTCTTTTCTAAAATTTTTAAATTTTTTTTTAAGATTTTATTTATTTATTTGACAGAGAGAAAGACAGTGAGAGAGGGAACACAAGCAGGGGGAGGGGGAGAGGGAGAAGCAGGCCTCCCGCCAAGCAAGGAGCCTGGAGCCTGCCAAGCAAGGAGCCCAGAGCCCGATGCAGGACCCTGGGATCATGACCTGAGCTAACGGCAGACGCTAAACAACTGAGCCACCCAGGAGCCCCAGCATAGGTCATTCTGCTTTTGAATTGTTAACTATCTGACTGTATGGAATTATCAAGATAGATACCTCGGTTACAATCTGATCCCTACCTAGAATATAACTTTCCTCTGTATTGTGTACTTAAGATGGTTTCTTGTGGGAGGGGAGGAAGGTAGTCCTTGTATTTGCCTGGGAATAGAATTAGACATTTTTTTCCCCAAATAATTTCCATTATGTGGAATGCCTAACTTTCTGAACAATCAAAATTTAGAACCACCAGCAGTCATACCATGTGGAAATCCTAATCTAATCTATACATAACTCTGGTGGGATAAAATTTTATGTGCTGATTTTTTCTTGGGAGGAAAAATGTCCTGAAGAAAGATACTGAAATTTGTGGTCTCTTGCTAAATTCTTACAGCATGTTACTCTCTGTGCATACATGTTGCAGTATTTGGCCATCAGGGGATTTTTAACTTAATATCTCATTTACTTATTTATGTATTTAATTTTTTTTTAAGTAGGCTTCCCACACCCAGTGTGGAGCCCAATGCAGGGCTCAACCTCATGACCCTGAGATCAAGACCTGATCTGAGATCAAAAGTCGGACACTTAACCGACTAAGCCATCTTATTTTTTTAAAAAATTATTTTTCTTATAATTGCAAGGCCAAGTAAGAAAACAACTTAAAATTAGGCAGTTACTCTCCCTTTACTCTTGTTACTCTAAGATCCTGGCTCAAATAAATATTTAATCAATATTACTAACAAATGTTTAATTCCCAGGAGTAAATTAGGTACATTGGAGGTGATATTAATAGTACAATCGAGACAAATTCTATGTTATTATATCCGGTTCTAATGAAAATCTTTGTATAGCATGTAGTTCCTGAGAATTTTTAGCCAGTGGGCCACTTGTTTCGAGTAGGTGGAAATTACAAATAGAAAACAAAAATTATACTGCATTAAAAATACAGTATTGCCTCTTTGGGAGAACTGTGGCAGAATTTATTAATATAATTCTTTCATGAATTAACTAGGGTATATCTATGGGTCAATTCTAAGGTCTTGGAGTGGTAGTTTGCTGCAGGGCAAAGGGTACTGAGTCAGAAAAATAGGGTTTGGTCCCAGTTCTACTACTGAGGAACTGTCCGGCTGTTAATTTTTCTAGATTTCAGTTTCTTATCTGTAAATAAAGGTGCTGGACTAAAAAATCTCCACGGTTTCCCTCAGCTGTTAAGTTCCATCACTCCAGTGGTTCTCTCATGGTCTAGCAGGGTCCCACTCAAGTTCATGGGAGGATGAAGCCTATTGCTCTTTGGAGAATCTAGGGGACTAAGTGGGAAGGGAAAATTACTGCTCCATGTTTTGAGAGTGGATATTTTGACTGTCATAGTTTAACCCAAACAGGAGTTGAGAAATTATTGGGGTGAGGGGAGGGATCCCCACATGTGTCCAGTGGGGTTGTAGATGGCCAGTCATTCAAGAATAGCCTTTTATGGAAATCCCTGTTTCTTAAGGATGCTGCTGGCACAATGCATCTGGGAAAATGGACTGGACTCATCTTGATGATCTCTTTGACTGGACTCCAAAGACTGGCTCTAGGAGTATGGAGACCATAATCACATACTCTAAAACTGTCCCCCTAAAAAAAGAAACAAAATATCTGGAATGTCCTTCAGATGTTATTACTCTATTGTCACTGTTGAATTTTCAAAGCACATCTATGGGAAGCTTAGAAAATATCTATTTAAGGGAGATTTTTTAAAGCTCTGGTGCATGTTAGTAGAGCTCGACTGGATTAGAATCCCAGTTTTACCACGTGGACAAGCTCCTTAACTTCTCTTTGTCTTTCTCATCGGTAAGATGGGGATGATGCCATTATCTGCTGGTTCCTTTCAAGACTCACTGAGTTAATATTTGCTTGACATTGTAGTGAGCAGTCAATAAATGTTAGCTCTTATTATCCCATTTGTGGTTGCTGTTGTAATAAAAATCAGATTACTGTAGTATTAAGAGTTCTTGCTGAATTGAAGTAGAGAAAATAATGTGCTCCCCCTATGTTTTGCAAACTTAATTATTCCCAAAGTGAATAATTCTGGTATGTAAAAAAAGCTCACTTAAGATATAGTTTACTTTAGGGAATAATCCAGTTTTAGGGCCTCCATTGATTAATACTCTTGTTCAGAAAACAATAGAAATGATTTTGGGGATACCGTGAGAAAGATTTTATTTTTAATATTTAAAGATAAAATGTTAATTTCCAAGTTTCTTTCAGTTTAGAAGCACATCAGTTTCAACTATGGATCAAATATATATCTTATCTGAATTTTATTTTTCATTAGGGAGAGAATGCAGAAAACTGTTATGTGACAGTTTGGTTGTGGCATTTCAAACTCGTTTTTGTGACTCAGAAAAACTGAGATTCTAGTTATGAAAGTGAAACTTTGGAAGAAAATTTTTCTTCTCTGTACCCCAAGGAAAACTCTGCACTGTACATTGGAGGGAACTATGTTGCAATTGCTGAAATTGACCATCTATTCCTGATGCCATAGTTTATCAAGCTAGAAGGCCAACTTGAAGCAGAAGGCTAAAAACATTTCATTCATATTAAGAAAGCTTTAGAGGTAGGGTTGTTTTAGAATATTAAGTCGTCTTCTATCATCCATGGCACTCCCTTTGCATGAACTGTAGGCAGCTTTTAACTCACTTTGTGGGTACCCTTTAAAAACAGAGTAAATTGTGACCAT